TACAGTAGTATTTTGAACTGGATTCGAAAGTGAACCGGTAACCAGTACAGTGAGGCCAAAACTGGTGTAGTGTGCTTTCTTTTGCCTGTACTGGTTAAAAATCGGGCTGCTGCATTCTGGACCAGTTGTAGTCGTGCCATGGAGGTTTGACTGATACCAAACAGGAGTGAACTGCAGTAATCAAGCCTAGATGTAATGAATGCATGTATTACTGTCTCCAGGTTATTTTTGGACAATATGGGCTTCAGTTTAGACAGCCGCCTCAGTTGGAAGAAACATGATTTAACAATCATGTTTACATGATTGTTAAGTTTCAGGGAAGGGTCCATTATCACTCCCAGATTAGTGACTCTTTGTTTTTCTGACAGGGTTAGAGCGGAGAGGTCGATGCAGTGGTTTGTGATCGTGTCATTGGGAGGGAACAACATGACTTCAGACTTCTTTTCATTGAAACTTAAGAAGTTTAAAGCCATCCAGTCCCTGATGTCAGCCAGGCAGTCGAGCAGAGGTTGAATAGAGCATGTGGCATTGTGTCTTAGGGGGAAGTAAATTCAGCGGTCAATAAAGTAATCGGCATGGAAGTGGAAGGGCATGTTGTGTTTCCAGAAAATAGCACCAAGCGGCAGCAGGTATAAAGAGAATAGGAGGGGACCCAGGATGGACCCTTGCGGAACCCCCCATTTAAGCTCTGCCGCTGCAGAACTAAAATCCTTGATGGAGACACAAAAGGATCTGTCAGCGAGGTAAGATCTGAACCAAATGAGGGCTGACCATGTGATGCCCACCCACTGCTCCAACCTAGCAATGAGGATCTCATGGTCGATGGTGTCAAAGGCGGCTGTGAGGTCCAATAGTATTTGAAAAGAGACCTGCTGCCTGTCTTTCCTCCACTTTCGCTCCGCCCTCCTACATTGCTGCCTAACGGCCTTGGTTTCAGAAGGCAGCAGACCAAGGATTGATTTATAGATGAAAATGAACAAGTGGGAGAGCCTTCTTCTTCTTCTTCTTCTTCTTTTGGCTTTTCATGGGTCTCCACAGCAAGTTATCCTCCTCCATCTCACTTTGTCCTCACTCCAACTACCTCCATGTCCTCTCAAACTGCATCCATATATCTTCTCATTTGACTTCCTCTTTGTATTTTTCCTTGCAGCTGCTTTTCTAACATCCTTCTACCAGTATACCCAGTGTCCCTCCTCTGGACATGTCCAAACCATCTCAGTCTGTCCTCACTAATTTTATCTCCCAGTTGTTCAACCTGTGCTGTACCTCTGATGATCTCATTCCTAATCTTATCCATCATTGTCACTCCTAAGGAGAACCTCAACACCTTCATTTCTTCCACCTCCATTTCTTTTTCCTGTCTTTTTGTCATTGCCACTGTCTCCAGACCACATAACATTGCTGATCTAACCACTGTCCTGTAAACTTTTCTTTTGGCCTTTGCTGACACACTTTTGTCACAAATCACTCCTGAAACGTTTCTCCATCCTGCCTGGATTGTCTTTTTCACCTTTTTACCACATTTCCTATTTTCCTGGACAGTGGTCCCCAAGTACTTGAAGTTCTGCACCTTTGTGACCTTTGCTCGTTGTAGCCTCACTGTTCCACCGGCCTCCCTCTCATCCACACACATGTACTCTGTCTTACTACGTATGGCTGACTTTCATTCCACTTCTTTCAAGTACAAACCTCCACCTCTCCAAGTTCTCTTCCAACTGTTCCCTGTTCTCACCACCATATATATATATATATATATATATATATATATATATATATATATACACACACACACACACACACAGGTATATATTTAAGATCTTTACATATACACACGGGCAGCACGGTGGTACAGGTAGTAGAGCTGCTGCCTCTCAGTGAGCAGGTTACCCTGGTTCAAATCCTGGTCCGTGGCCTTTCTGGGTAGAGTTTGCATGTTCTCTTCATGCATGCTTGGGTTTTCTCTAGGTGCTTCGGTTTCCTCCCACAGACCAAAAATATTTATGTCAGGTTGATTGGTAACTCTAAATATCCCTAGGTGTGAGTGAGTGGATGGTTGTTTGTCTCTTTGTCTCTAACGTGTCCCTGTGATGGACTGGAGACCTGTCCAGGGTGTCCCCCGCCTCTCACACAGTGATGGCTGGACATGACAGTGACCCCGGCATCCCGAAAACGAAGAAGTGGGTAAAGATGATGGATGGATGGATGGATGGATGGATGGACATATATATGTACACACACACACACATCTGCCTGTGTGTTTGTGTGTGTGAGTGTGTGTAGGTGATTATCTTGGGTTTTGACTTGTCAACCCATCTTTTATAATGACCATTTTTAAGCATACATGCAGCCTCACACCAAATTTGACGCCAGCACATTGCTAACTTTTGAAGTTATCTAGCTCTCAAGAGTCGCACACACACATATATATATATATATATATATATATATATATATAAATACACATGTATGCGGGCAGCCATCTTGAATTTTGACACGGAAGGCCAAATTTCGAAATGAAACTTTTGCCTTTCAGACTTTAAAAGAAAGTCTCAAAGGATTTTCCAACGTCCCTTAGTGCCAAGCCTCACATCTGCAGTGAACAGTGAAGAAGAGGATTACTTGAAACACTTTTTTCTCTTTCACACTAAATAGGGCATCAGCTACAGTTTGACCACTGACTTTCCTCTCTGAACAAATGCATGATTTTGCTTTTATAGACATACTTCCAGACCAGAAGCAGTAATACACCTACAGCATGAGATCAGTGTGCCCCTGTCTCTCACTATCAATATTAATTAGCTCATTGTTACAAAGTCTGTTTGTTCTCAGTTCTCAGATATTTAGTACAGTATATTTTAGAAGTATTTCAGTGCTTCCCCAGTGCAAGGCTGGATTTATGCATTTTTCATTAGCAGCTCACTGAAGTACAATAATGATCATTCAAAAACTTTATTGTCCTTTGAAGACCACATGATTGCATTGTGTTTTTCTTACAATTAAACATGCACAATTAAATATAAACATCAATAAACACAAATTTTTAAATGATCCCTTCATAAATCTCCTGACTAAAACACTATGTGCAATACTTGTGAAATATCCAACCCACAAGAATCAGTTTTCAGCATTTGTGTTGTTATTTAAGAAAAGGGAATAAATCATGGGCCTTGAGGACATGGTCAAAGAGTAAGACTTAAATTCAGGGCTAATCCACTTAGATACAAATGTAAGAGACAAGTTACAAGAATCAGTTTTATGTCAAGCTGATATATATATATATATATATATAAATATTGTGAACTGCATGAAGATAATCTGTTCAGGCATTTTGAATTAACTGAAGAATCCATATAAGATTGGCAAGAAAGGAGCCAAGAATGCAAGTAAAGAATGAGTTACACCATTGAATGAGCTGAGCAATCATGTTCTTAAGGAATGTTTATTGATGTATTTGTTTTTGACCTGGCAACAAAACAAGTAAATAATATTTATTCACACAGCCACTTTCTCAGAAAAAAAAATACATTACAATGCAACTATATGAAAAATAAGTAAAATGCGATTATATAAAAAGATGAAGAAAATGATTATATAATTTAGCAAAATGTAAAAACAAAAATAAGCTTGTCTGATTTGTACAAAAAAAACTTCACATATAAAAAGATTTTTATAACGTGCAACACATTTTCTGCATGTTTTCCATGTGGTTATAGAATATTTTTAACATGTTAAATGTTTTTTTTGTTTTTTTTTTTCACAAAAGGAATAAGAAAAACTTTTAGAAAATGTCAAACAACAAATGTTGTCAATACAGTACAAAATAAAATCAGGCAAGTTCATTCAACAAAAATGCAAATGCTTAAAAGACCCAATTCCCTCAAAAATATATTCGTTATGAAATACTAATAACTTTAGGTTAGATGACCTAAAGGACCGAGGTGAAATGTGTGAGGCTTTAGAAATAAACTCAGGAGTTTGACCATGTAGAGCTCTTAAATTAACATCAACATATGAATGGATTCAGAATGTAATGAGTTGAAGAGTCAATAACGTGATATGTGAAACATATGAATTTCTTTCATTTGTTTGAGTTAAAAGTGTTGCTGCAGCATTTGTACCAACTAAAGACAATCACAGACTTTTATGTTTAGAAAATAACCTTATAATAATTTAATGCAAGGAGATACAAGTGTGGACAATCATCTCCAGTTCATGTTTTGACATGTTCCACCTTATTTTTTAACTTTTCAGGTAGAAAAGGTTGAACATGTCTCAAAAACATCCTTGGACTTTACTGGGCAGCTGTCTAAATGATAATTCTGTAGAGGCAATCGTTTTTTTTCTTTCGGCTGCTCCCTTCTTCAGGGAGAAAACTAACTCGCACAAATTGCCAATTGTTTTTACGCCTGATGCCCTTCCTGACTCAATCACAGACTCCTGAGCTACCACAGCCCTCTGTGTGGAGCAGAGAGCTGCCATCTAGGGCACCCGGGGGAGCTGATGGTGGGGGTTATTAAAGGTCAAGACCTCAAGGGCCCAGAGTGGAGGCAGGTGTGGGTGTTTCACCTTTCCCACCCACATTTTGATGTTGTCGGTCCGGGGAGTCTAACCAATAACCTTCTGATCAAAGGCTCGCCTTCTCTAACCTCTAACCAAATTTAATAAATATGATTTTAAAATGGAAGTTTGTTCAAACAATTTTACCACCAGCCATCACTGCCAACTCATGCTTATTGCAAAAAGTTTGCACATAAAAATAAATTCTCATTTGCAACAAGGTGAACAGGAATTACTGTATCATTGCTCTTCAAAAATGGGGCAAGTCTCCAATTGAAGTAACGATAACTGTGCTTGCACTGTTGCTCTTCCTCTTACTGTCGTACTGTCATCATTTACGTTTTATTATTTTGAAATCTGTTTTTTTTTCTATTACAGTTTCATCATCAAATGTTTTCTGTCCCATAAGGTGTTGTTGTTGTTTTTTTACATTTCACTGACAGCATGTCACCGCCTGCAGAGCAAGAATAAGATTTCTATAGAGTTCTTCAAAGAGTACACTGTGGACTGTAAGAACATTTCTCTCTCTCTCTCTCTCTCTCTCTCTCTCTCTCTCTCTCTCTCTCTCTCTCTCTCTCTCTCTCTCTCGCTCTCACTCTCTCTCTTTTAAACTATTTGGAAATATGTCAACCAAAAACCCAGGTGCTTTAGCAGTGTGGCATGCTGGCAAAGAGTCTCAAAGTTTTGTGGTTTGCTGGCATAGATTTTTCATTGAGTTTTTCGGTCCACATGTAATGCAACGCACCCCAGGAGTTGGTTCTCCCAGCACACTAATGAAGCGTAGCCATTATCCCACACTGAGACTGACCTGTCTGACTCTTCTCACTCTGTCAATATACCTTTTCACTTACAGCTCATTAGCACAATCATAAATTATGCAATCTTCCTGTTTTAGTTTGTAGGAAGTTGTGGGGTACTTTAAAGTTCTTGTAGTTTATTTCCAGTGAAGAGCATAAACTTAAATTAAAAAAAAAAAATGTTCTTGATTGCTTTTATTTGCACCATATTAAGTGTTTTTAAAAATGGAATGGGATGCTCCTGCTTACACCTGGTAGATTGGGGTTTGATCCTTTGTGAGAAAATTCAGTTTTTATTATTATTATCATATTTATGAAGTGAAATGGAGTAGTTGTGGTCCTGAAGGAGGACTTAGCATAACATGTATCATAGACAACTAGTTCTGGCTGTCAGCAGCAAATTGGTTGGTGACTTTAAAAGGCAGAAACAGAAATTCACGAGTTCTGCCTGACCCAAAACTGGCCTTGAGGGCAGACTTATCTCAACTCCTCCTGGCATGTTTTGAAAAAACAAAGATGCTTTGTCTGTCTCCTCACCCCTCCATTTCCCAAGGCCGTGGACATGTGAACCTAAACCAAGCTGGTGATGAATAACACCTCTTATCTGGACAATAGCTGAGAGGGGGGGCTCTGGACTATGCTATGACTGTCGCTTAAAAATTAAATGTCTTCACCGGCCTATATGTACATGTATACCATCTATTTATGTTGCTTTGCTGTGGTAGGGTTTTTTTATGCCTCAAATCGTGCCCTGTCTAGGACACGGCGTGAGAGATCTTTTTTTTAATACCATCTCTCCTCATGTTTTCTTGCCTTTTCTCTTCTAAGCAAAAATATTATTCTGAATAAGAATAATGAGGGCCACACTTTTTTTAGTGGCAGCTTCGTGCACTCAGCCCATCTTTCAGACGACGGTACGTACATGTTCTCGTTGTATCTCGGTGCAATGATAATAAAGATTATTCTGATTCTGATAGTAGAGGTGGAAAAAGTGTCCTATAGGGTGGTGTGGCTGAAGGTAGAAGTAAAAGATCTGATGCTAAATGTTGTCAGTGGTTATGTTCAACATGTTGGATGATGTGGAAGAGAAAGAGAAATTCTGGAAGGAGCTAGATGAAGGGATAGAGAATATTCCCAGGGAGGAGAGCCATGATTGGAGCATACATGAATGGACATGTTGATGAAGGAACCACACCATACTGTGTCCTGATTAATGCTCAATAATCCAGGTAGATAAATCCAGAGCCCTATAAAGAGAGAGTTGCAACACTCTTTGAACTCGCCGATACGCGGTCACGTGGTTCATGCAGCTCCCAATAGTTCCAAACAGCTCATCGCTGTCAGTCAGTTTGAGCGGCTGCTGGCGCAACATAACACAAAAATCGACTTTTCTTACTTTACCTGGCGTCTTTCAGTAATTATTGAGCAGCAACGAACTGATTACTTAACTGATTACTGATTATTTCACAGACTATGTATTTTATTAAAGCATTTTTAGAAGTGGCTGATACATTTATCATTAAATTTTAGAAGGGAATGAGTCTGCAAACACATATTTGTTAGAATTATTTTTTATATGCAATACAATGATCAATATAGCCATGTCAGTGTTTTATAACGTTACACACGATAAATAAAATATCAGAGTAACTAACAGCTGTTATAAAGCTATTTCTGATGTTCTCTGCATGAGAATGCTCCACCTTGTCCTCCATGCAGCAGTTCAGATCTGCTCCAGCTTATCATCTGGATGAATTCTTGATTTCTATAGAAGATATTAATTCAACCTTTATTTAAACAGGTTCGTCCCATTGAGCCACGAGGACTCATTTACAAGAGAGACCTGAATATAATTGTTGTATTTGTCGTTTATTTTTTTCTTTTTTTTTTTTTTTTTGTTATGGCAACCAAGTACCTGGATAACTGAGTTGATTGTAGCCTGACAACTATTGTAAAAATGTAATTCATTTATTAAAATGTTAATTTAAATGAAACTGTAAAATCATAACTGATGACAAAATAAGTGTTAATTGTGCAAAAATAAATTTCCAAACAATTTATTATAAAATATGTAAAATGTAAAACAAGCTTTAATAAAGTACTTTTACTGCCATTTATACTGTTTATTAATACCTGTACATCATCTCAAGTCAGCAGGAGCACCATCATCATCATCATCACAACAACACAAAGTGAGAGCTGTAAATTTAATCTGCACAAACATTTTCAATCAGGGCTCAAAATGTTTAACTGTCAAAGAAATGTGCAAGAAAATAAACTAATGTCACTCTACAGGCACATTTAGAGAGAGGACAGTTCACAGAGACACAGTGAGGACGTGTGAGACAGAAGGAGGTTCAACCATTTGTTCATCGACCAGAACCATATGAGAAGAACAGCAGAACTTCCACTGCATGTTGATCCATTGACCAGTGATCTGACCAGTGATCTGACCAGTGATCTGACCAGTGAGCTGACCAGTGAGCTGACCAGTGATCTGACCAGTGAGCTGACCAGTGATCTGACCAGTGAGCTGACCAGTGATCACACATGTTCTTCTAAATTAAACTTTGGTACGAACAGTGGTACAATAAGACATGTCATATTTTTTATTGAACATTAATCTTCATTCTAACAGTGCTGTTGTAATTTCAGAGACTGAGGAAGGAAGAAACAGAAATGAGGCGAGTGAGATGAGGGAAAGATGAAAATGTGTCCTCAGAGGACGGGGACATGTCAGGATCTGATGATCCAGGATCAACAGGACCAGGAGGATGGATCAACAGGCAGTCAGGGAACAGAGATGAACAACCTGAGGGAACAATTAGAACACAAAAAATACATAAGCAGGATAGAAGAAACTCACAGACAAGAAAATTAGCGCAGTCCTGCAAAGAAAAATGTTAACAATGGAAAATAAATTGACATATTTTTACAAAAGATCAGATGAAGACAACTGGCATGAAGAATAATTCCCAGCTCCATCTCATTGTACCTGTGATAGTGTAATAAGTTTTTTTGTTACTGTCCTACAGTTTATTGATGCTGATATGTTCTTGATAATAATTCTTCTTTCTTGTTCTGTCTTGAAAGAGTCTCATCTCAACTTGACCCATGATTACCAAACACTAAACTAATAATATAAAACTAATGTAAATGAACAGTCCTGCAGTAAATACCAACTTTGTGAAGGTTATGGAGTTAGTGATTTTATTCAAACATCTTGATTAAGCTGTTATTGTTTGGGAAGACAGAAAATGAGATCTTGTTACGATACTTTGAATGCAACATTCAGTTCATGAAGTCATTCTCCTGTGGTTTACCTGGAAAACATGAAAAAAATTGATTCATCTCCACAATCACGTTTTTCCTTTAATTATAATGTCACAATTTATGCTGCAGTCTTTGACAAATGATCTATAACTTTTGACTAAATTACGTCAATCTTGTCATGTTGTCATCATTCTTTGTTGAAATCAGGTCTCTCTTGTAAATGAGTCCTTGAGGCTCAATGGGATTTACCTGTCTAAATAAAGGTTGAATGAATCTCTCAGGAAAAAAGGCCAAATATTTTCTAGTTGAGTTTAGTAACTGGAATTACCATAAATTTAAAAAAGACCACCTTGCAAAATTTAAGCAGTAATAGATATTTTAAAACGTTGAATTAGAAATAGACTTGTTTAAACTGTCATGTTGCAGAGCAGCTGCAGTTAAAACACAATTAGCAATTTAACATGTTTCATTAACTAAAACTGGCGACATGAAGTATTAATGTTGATAAATTGTGGTACAGAACAGTCAGATAACGCTTCAAAATGGCAAAAAATTGTCGTATTTTCATCAACTTACTGGAGAAAACATGGAGAATGAACTACGTTCAAAGCTGGAACCGCTGCTGTTTGGAACTATTTGCCGCTTCATGACCCACGTGACTTCCGCATTCCATTCTTTCTATGGGAGTCTATGGGAGTGTCGCAACTCTCTCTTTACAGGGCTCTGGATAAATCTAACAAGATTGAGTCAGGTCCTCTGGATGGATTCTTGATTGTTGAAATGTTTTGTCTTTTATCCAAAATTCTTCATTCTGATATCTTGCAACAAGTTAACCAGCTATTCATATGCAAAAGGAGGACTATCAGCCTGATGGTCCTCCTTTTGCATGTGAAAAACTAGTTCTGGCTGTCAGCAGCAAATTGATTGATCCACTATTACCAGGTGCTATTTATAAGCCTGAGTTTATTGCAAGATCTCAGACTGAAGAAGTCTTTTGGATAAAAGCCAAAGCATTTCAACAAACAAGAATCCGTCCAGAGGACCTGACTTAATCTTGCCAGACACACCATACTGTCCTTCACCATGTTGTTAAAGGACTACATAATTTATAGAAGAGGTAACATGAGGGAGATTTAGGACTTTAAAGTTGTGGTAAGAAAGAATGTGGCTAGACAACATTGGATGGTGATGTGTAGAATGACTGTTGTTGTGAAGAAGAGAAAATGAGTAAAATCAAAGAAGAAGATCAAATGGTGGAATGCGAGGGAAAAAAGTTTGTGAGGAATTCAGAGAGGAGCTGTTAAAGGCTCTCGGTAAGAAAGAACTTCCAGATGACTGCGTTACTACAGCAACAGTAATTAGAGAGACAGGTAGGACGGTACTTGGGAGTTGGTGGAATAGGGAAATGCGGGGTTATCCAGAAGAAGAGACAAAAATAA